TGTGTTGTGATGAGTGGGTGAGTGGCTGGGTGAGTGAGTGACTGAGTGTGTTGTGATGAGTGGGTGAGTGTGTTGTGATGAGTGGGTGAGTGTGTTGTGATGAGTGAGTGAGTGGCTGGGTGAGTGACTGAGTGTGTTGTGATGAGTGGGTGACTGTGTGTGCTGTGATGAGTGGGTGAGTGTGTTGTGATGAGTGGGTGAGTGTGTTGTGATGAGTGGGTGAGTGGCTGGGTGAGTGGGTGACTGAGAGTGTTGTGATGAGTGGGTCAGTGGCTGGGTGAGTGGGTGGGTGAGTGAGTGACTGAGTGTGTTGTGATGAGTGGGTGAGTGACTGAGTGTGTTGTGATGAGTGGGTGAGTGGCTGGGTGAGTGAGTGACTGAGTGTGTTGTGATGAGTGGGTGAGTGGCTGGGTGAGTGAGTGATTGAGTGTGTTGTGATGAGTCGGTGAGTGACTGGGTGAGTGATTGAGTGTGTTGTGATGAGTGGGTGAGTGTGTTGTGATGAGTGGGTGAGTGGCTGGGTGAGTGGGTGACTGAGTGTGTTGTGATGAGTGGGTGAGTGGCTGGGTGAGTGGGTGATTGAATGTGTTGTGATGAGTGGGTGAGTGGGTGAGTGGGTGAGTGGCTGGGTGAGTGTGTTGTGTGAGTGGGTGAGTGGCTGGGTGAGTGAGTGACTGAGTGTGTTGTGATGAGTGGGTGAGTCACTGAGTGACTGAGTGTGTTGTGATGAGTGGGTGAGTGGCTGGGTGAGTGGGTGATTGAGTGTGTTCTGATGAGTGGGTGAGTGGTTGGGTGAGTGGCTGGGTGAGTGAGTGACTGAGTGTGTTGTGATGAGTGGGTGAGTGACTGAGTGAGTGAGTGACTGAGTGTGTTGTGATGAGTGGGTGAGTGGCTGGGTGAGTGAGTGACTGAGTGTGTTGTGATGAGTGGGTGAGTGGGTGATTGAGTGTGTTGTGATGAGTGGGTGAGTGGCTGGGTGAGTGTGTTGTGATGAGTGGGTGAGTGGCTGGGTGAGTGAGTGACTGAGTGTGTTGTGATGAGTGGGTGAATGGCTGGGTGAGTGTGTTGTGATGAGTGGGTGAGTGGCTGGGTGAGTGAGCGATTCAGTGACAGCTCAACAAAGAATTTTAAAATTTGGACATTAATCGCAGCAAACTCATTTCACGATCCACTCCCTCCCCTCCCTCCCTCATCAAAGAGGCTGCTGTCACAGCAAAGCCGGGAATCCTTCCCCTGATGCTGCTGTCTGTAAGAGGACACTTCGCCCGTAACGCCCTCTCGCCTCGTGTCTCGCTCGTCAGCTCGGCAATTCGAGCAGTACCACCAGCCCCAATCATCACGGTGTAACTCACACGACCTAGAACAACACACGGCACACTTAGCGTGGCCAATTACCCACCACTTATATAAAGACACACAGAGACACGCGCGCAGAGACACGCGCACAGAGATACACACACAGAGACACACACAGAGACACACGCGCAGAGAGACACACACACAGAGACACACACAGAGACACGCGCGCAGAGACACACACAGAGACACACGCGCAGAGACACACACTGAGACACGCGCGCAGAGACACGCGCACAGAGATACACACACAGAGACACACACAGAGACACACACAGAGACACACGCGCAGAGAGACACACACAGAGACACACACAGAGACACGCGCGCAAAGACACACACAGAGACACACGCGCAGAGACGCACACTGAGACACGCGCGCAGAGACACGCGCACAGAGATACACACACAGAGACACACACAGAGACACGCGCACAGAGACACACACAGAGACACGCGCGTAGAGACACACACAGAGACACACACAGAGACACACACAGAGACACACGCGCAGAGACACACACAGAGACACACACTGAGACACACACAGAGACACGCGCGCAGAGACACGCGCACAGAGACACGCGCAGAGACACGCACGCCGTGACACATACGCAGAGACACACGCGCAGAGACACACACACAGAGACACACGCGCAGAGACACACACACAGAGAAACACACAGAGACACACACACAGACACATACACACAGAGAGACACACACACAGAGACACACACGCAGAGACACGCGCACAGAGACACACGCACACAGAGACACACAGAGACACACACACAGACACACAGAGACACACACACAGAGACACACGCGCAGAGGCACACAGAGACACACAGAGACACACACACAGAGACACACACGCAGAGACACACACACAGAGACACACAGACACAGAGACACACACAGAGACACACACGCAGAGATACACACGCGAAGAGACACACAGAGACACACACAGAGACACACACGCAGAGATACACACGCGAAGAGACACACAGAGACACACACAGAGACACACAGAGACACAGACACAGACACACACACAGAGACACACAGAGACACACACACACAGACACACACAGAGACACACACACAGAGACACACAGAGACACACACAGACACACAGAGACACACACACAGAGACACGCAGAGACACACACCCAGAGACACACACAGAGACACACACACAGAGACACACAGAGACACACACATAGAGACACACAGAGACACAGACACAGACATACACACAGAGACACACACAGAGACACACACACAGACACACACAGAGACGCACACAGAGACACACACACAGAGACACACACAGACACACACACACAGAGACACACAGAGACACACAGACACAGAGACACACACACAGACACACACACGCAACGGGAACACGACTTACACATGCGAACCCAGGGTCACTACTTGCCCAGGACTCGTATAAGCCATTGCTCAGAGCTCCAAGGCTCAAGGGGGTTGGCATTCCTTTGGCAGGATCGACAGCGCTGAAGGGGTGGGGAGAATAGCGTGGAGGAGGAGGAGGAGGAGGTTGGAGGAGGTTTCAGGAGGTGGAGGAGATTGGAGGAGGTGGTTAGAGACGGGACGAGGTTCAAGCGCTCGTAGTTCGGTGGAGGTGAATGGAAAGGAATCGTTCTGCGCCCCGTTATTTAGGATCTCTGTTGTATCAACAAAACATATTGTTGATACAACACCTGTAACTACAATACACCACTACACGCACTCACATGTACACACCACTACACACACTCACATATACACACCACCACACACGCATATGTATACACCAATACACTCACATATATACAACACTACACACATACACATATATACACCACTACACTCACATATATACAACACTACACTCACTCACATATAAACACCACTACACACATACACATATATACACCACTACACTCACATATATACACCACTACACACACATATATACACCACTACACACACTCACATATAAACACCACTACACACACACACACATATACACCACTAAAATCACATATATACACCACTACACACACATAGATACACCACTACACACTCATATATATACACCACTACACACACATATATACACCAATACACTCACATATATACAACACTACACACACTCAAATATATACACCACTACACACACTCACATAAATACACCACTACACACACACACAAAAATATACACCACTACACACACTCACATATATACACCACTACACTCACATATATACACCACTACACACACTCACATATATACACCACTACACACACACATATATACACACCATTACACACACACATATATACACCACTACACACACTCACATATATACACCACTACAAACACATATACACCACTACACACACTCACATATATACTCCACTACACACACTCACATATACACCACTACACACACATATATACACCACAACACACACTCACATATACACCACTACACACACTCACATATATATATACCACTACACACACATATATATACACCACGACACACACTAACATATATACACCACTATACACACACATATATACACCACTACACACATTCACATATATACACCACTACACACACTCACATATATACACCACTATACACACATATATACACCACTACACACACATATATACAACACTACACTCACTCACATATAAACACCACTACACACATACACATATATACACCACTACACTCACATATATACACCACTACACACACATATATACACCACTACACACACTCACATATACACCACTACACACACACATATATACACCACTAAAATCACATATATACACCACTACACACACATAGATACACCACTACACACTCATATATATACACGACTACACACACACACATATATACACCACTACACACACTCACATATACACCACTACACACACTCACATATACACCACTACACACACTCACAAATATACACCACTACACACACTCACATATATACACCACTACACACACATATATACACCACTACACACACACACACACACTTATATACACCACTACACACACTCACATATACACCACTACACACACAAATACACCACTACACACACTCACATATATACACCACTACACACACATATATACACCACTACACACACTCACATATATACACCACTACACACACACATATATACACCACTACACACACACATATATACACCACTACACACACTCACATATACACCACTACACACACTCACATATATACATCACCACACACACTCACATATATACACCACTACACACACATATATACACCACTACACTCACATATATACATCACCACTACACACACATATATACACCACTACACACACATATATACACACACTTATATACACCACTACACACACTCACATATATACACAACTACACACACATATATACACCACAACACACACGTATATACACCACTACACACACATATATGCACCACTACACACACTCACATACACCACTACACACACATATACACCACTATATATATGTAAACCATTGCACACTCTCTTCACAGGAGAGTTGCGGCCAGTATAGCTGCTGGAGATGGTCGAGGTGGTGGTGGTGGCGGCTTCCCTGATGCTGCTCATCACACTGTCGACACCTGGGTGAGTTTCATCCTCCACCTCCTCCTCCACTACCACCACCTCCACCACCTCCTCCACCACCTCCACCTCCTCTACCATCTCCTTCACAACCACTTTCACCACCACCACCACCACCACCACCTCCTTCACAACCAATTTCACCACCACCACCTCCTCCACCACCTCCACCTCCTCTACCATCTCCTTCACAACCACTTTCACCACCACCACCACCACCACCACCACCACCTCCTTTTGCATCTCCTTCACAACCACTTTCACCACCATCACCACCACCACCACCACCATCACCACCACCACTACCTCCTCTACCATCTCCTTCACAACCACTTTCACCACCACCACCACCACCACCTGCTTTTCCATCTCCTTCACAACCACTTTCACCACCACCACCACCACCACCACTTTCTCCTCCACACCCATAGTGGCCTGGTCTCAGCTAGCCGATGAAAGTTGCAAGCGAGAATTTCATCATCGTTTGCGGCTGGGGTTGGCACCGTCCCCCACTGCTCCTGATGTCGAGGGTAAATGGGGGAGGTTTAGGACTGTGGCTCAGGCAGCTGCAATGGCTGCTTTGGGTACACGGCCCAGACCTCCCCAGAGACCCTGGCTTATAAAAAGCGACAGGCCCACTCTCATCGTCTACAGCTTCTCCACGTCGGAGAATGAGGAGGCTTACCACAGCCTTCGCTCGCAGGTTCTGAGAGCCTTGAGGTGCTGAAAGGATGGGTGGTGGTTGCGGGTTGCTGAGGAGATGGAGTCTCCCTCAGTGGCCAGCGATCACAAATCTCTATTTAACTCCATCAAAAAAGTAACCTGCAGCGCCACACCTATTACCATCATTAGGGGAAAAAACGGTGATCCAATCTCCGACCCCCAGGAACAGGTTTATAGATTTTGCTGAGCATTCTTGTGAGATCTTGGGATGGGGAAAATCGCTCAGCCTCGAAAACATCGTGGGGCAAAGTGAGGATGAGCCTGCTGAAGATACCGTGCCTCAAATATTGGTAGAAGTAGTCACTCCCTGTGAGTGGCTGGCTGAGAAGCCATCTGTTGAGGAAGTACTGAAGGCGATCCGGAGTCTGAGACCAGGAAAGGCACCGGGCAGAGATGATCTCCAAAGCGAAATGCTGAGGGAGGGTGGCATTTGTGCGCAGACTGTCCTATATGACATCATAATAAGAGTCTGGACCACTGGACGGATTCCATAGGATTGGAATGATGCCCTCCTCAGTATACCAGGAAAGGTCCTGGCAAGGATTATTCAACACCGCCTTGCCAGGCACTCTGAGGAGAGGCTTGCAGAACCCCAATGTGGTTTCAGGAAGGGGCAGTCCTGCACAGATGCCATATTCTCTGTTCGTCTCCTACTGCAGAGGTGTAGGGAATTCCAACGAGACCTACATCTCTGCTTTAATGACCTGGTCAAGGCCTATGCTACTATCAATAGGCCTGGGCTCTCGATTGTTGTGAGCAGAGTACCTGACTCTCTGCTCTCTATTATTAGGGACCTTCATGATGGTGAGCAGGCCCGGGTAAAACTACATGGCTGTGAGTCGGAGCCATTCCCTGTTCACCTTGGGGTGCGACAGGGATATCCTCTGGCTCCCACGTTATTTAACATCTATTTCGACCACGTAGTTTGTGAAGCCTTCGATGGCTGTAACGGAGGAATTTCCATCTAGTACAGACACAATGGGAGGCTGATCGATGTCCGGGTGTTGTCAAGGGATGGCTCCCTAATGGTCAACCATGTTACGTATGCCGATGATCTGGTGATTGCTGCTCACTCAGAGGAGTTGGAGGTGCTGCCACTACGAGATGGGGCCTTACCCTCAGCCCCACAAAAACAAAGCACCTGCCTGGGTATTTTGTACCATCAGACACTCCACCCCCACTACTCCCAATTCATGATGGGGCAGTTGTGAAGAGAGTGGAGAGTTTTCAATACCTGGGAAGTGTGCTCATGACCAGCTCCGGTTTGACAGCAGAGGTCTCACTCCGAATCAGTCGAGCGGCAATATCTTTTCATTGGCTACATAATGCTGTGTGGAAGCTACCTGGTCTGTCGCTCCGCACTAAGCTTCATGTCTTCTCGGCCACGGTTATTCCCTCCCTTCTCTACGCTTGCGAAACGTGGACCCCCCCTAATATACCATCTTCGCCAGTTAGAAACATTTAGGCTGGCCTGCCTACGATCCATCCTGGGTGTAACCAGGCTGGATTGTGTGAGGAGCTCATAAATCCTTGAAAGATCTGGACAAATTCCCATCGGTGAGCTCCTCCGGCAGGCAAGGCTGCATTGGCTGGGTCATGTAGCCCGCATGCCCAGCCACCGCATGCCGAAACAGATGCTGTTTAGTCGGATCGAGGGAGCTGAATGGGCGCGGCACGGGCTAGAGAAGAGATGGAGTGACGTGGTACAAAAGGACGTGGAGCTGAGTGGACTTGCCGATGACTGGTACCAGCGGTGTCAAGATCGGCGTCTGTGGAGGAGGCTCGTGAAGGATGCTACTGGGCAGTTGGAGGCAGTCGCCCTCCAACAACAAAGAAGGGCGGAGGAGCGACGCTCACAACAACCAGCGGAGCGTCGGGCAGCTAAAACGCAGCAGATGGTGCATCGGCCAGTCGTCTCAGTCGGTCGACCCATGCATGGCACCTGGTTCTGTCCCGTGACCTCCTGCCCGCGGGCGTTCGACACTTCACGTGGCCTCAAGGTGCACATAGCCTGGCACAAGCGTCGTGGTGACGTCACCGCCACTTGGTGGCGAATGGCGGTTGTTGTGTTGTTGTGTTTATGCCTCTATGTGTCCATCTCTGTGTCTATGTTTCTGTGTGTCTATCTCCGTGTGTGTCTCTGTGTGTCTGTCTCTCCGTGCGTGTCTCTTTGTCTGTGTGTGTCTCTCTGTGTGTGTGTCTCTGTGTGTGTGTGTGGGGGTGGGGGTAGGGTGTAGCAATTAGCGCTACTCTGCGCTAATTGCTGCAGTGTCAGCAGCCTTCACAGTGTGCTCGCTAACCAGCACTTGCCCCAACAGTCTGTTACGGACCTACGCGTGGGGCAATCCTCTGCCTTTGCATTGTGGCCGAACTTCATGGGGAGTGTTGGCGCAGCGGTGACAAACGCCAGCAACCCACCAATCGTGGGTCTCCCTTTAGGTAGACGCAGCCCTTCAAGATGAGCGACTCAACACTTCCACCCCTAAACTCCACCACCACCACCACCACCCCCGGGCGAAGTCTGCCTAAGGTTCAACGTGTACGTGGCTGCGGGTGCGAACTTTGTCTGTTGCAAGCGCGGAGTCTGGAAACGTTTCGGTGTCGGCGGCGGCGGCGAATGAGACGGTAGTCGTCCCTTCCACGTTCCTGGAGACCCTCCTGGGCCCTGAGTCTGGCTACGACTTCAGGCTCAGGCCGAACTTCGAAGGTGGGAGGAGGAGGAGGAGGAGGAATCTGCAAGCACCACGAACACGACGCATCCACCCAATGGTTATTGTCGCGATAAAGAGGTGCGTGGGTGGGTGTGTGGGTGGGTGTGTGGGTGGGTGTGTGGGTGGGTGTGTGGGTGGGTAGGTGCGTGGGTGGGTGTGTGGGTGGATAGGTGTGTGGGTGGGTGTGTTGGTGGGTAGGTGTGTGGGTGGGTGTGTGGGTGGGTAGGTGTGTGGGTGGGTAGGTGTGTGGGTGGGTGTGTGGGTGGGTAGGTGTGTGGGTGGGTGTGTGGGTGGGTAGGTGTGTGGCTGGGTGTGTGGGTGGGTAGGTGTGTGGGTGGGTGTGTGGGTGGGTAGGTGTGTGGGTGGGTAGGTGCGTGGGTGGGTGTGTGGGTGGGTAGGTGTGTGGGTGGGTGTGTGGGTGGGTGGGTGTGTAGGTGGGTATGTGGGTGGGTAGGTGAGTGGGTGGGTGTGTGGGTGGGTGTGTGGGTGGGTGTGTGGGTGGGTGTGTGGATGGGTAGGTGTGTCTCTGGGTGTGTGTGGGAGTGTTGGTAGGTGGTTGTGTAGGTGTATGGGTGGGTGTGTAGGTGTAGGTGGGTGGGTGGGTGTGTCTGTGGGTGTGTGGGGGTGAGTCTGTATGTGGGGGGGGGGTGGGGGGGTGTGTCTGTGTGTGTGGGTGGGTGTAGGTGTCAGTGTGTGGGTGTGTATATGTGTATGTAGGTGTTTGGGGGGTGTGTCTGTGTGTGTGGGTGGGTGTAGGTGTCAGTGTGTGGGTGTGTATATGTGTATGTAGGTGTTTGGGGAGTGTGTCTGTGTGTGTGGGTGGGTGTAGGTGTCAGTGTGTGGGTGTGTATATGTGTATGTAGGTGTGTGGGGGGGGTGTCTGTGTATGTGGGTGTAGGTGTTAGTGTGTGGGTGTGTATATGTGTATGTAGGTGTTTGGGTGGGTGTCTGTGTGTGTGGGTGTGTATATGTGTATGTAGATGTGTGGGGGGGAGGTGTCTGTGTATGTGGGTGGGTGTAGGTGTTAGTGTGTGGGTGTGTATATGTGTATGTGGGTGTTTGGGGGGGGTGTCTGTGTGTGTGTGGTTGGGTGCATGTGATTGGGTGGGTGTCTCTGTCGGACGGTAATGCTGTGGTGAAGAGTGCCATACGGGGAGGGCAAGTTTCGATTGGCCAATCCCCTTCATGGCCCTTGTAGCCACCACAGCAGCCAAATCGGACTGTGGACGTATGCGAGGGCGTGGTAACCCCTCCACCTTCAATTAATTTCCATGAAACCACGAAGAATAAATCCAACTAAGCTTGTGCCCGAGGCCATGTGGGGACAGGCGTCTATGATGTCTCCTGGCCAATCCCCATTTGGCAGAGCCAGGAGACTGAATCTTTAACCCTCGGGGTTTCCTCCAGAAACAGCAAAAAGCCACTGTGGGTGGCCAAGTGGAATGTTCGAACGCCTACTGCAGGGGAGAGGCTGCCACTCCTCTGTCGGGAGCTGGACCGGTACCGCCTGGATCTCTGTGGTACTCAGGAGGTCCGGTGGACCGGCTGTGGCTCCTGCCACCCTGAGGGGTGGACAGTCCTCTACTCTGGGCAGGACACTGCCAAACAACAGGGAGTGGGAATCTGTAAGCCCCAGGCTACTTTTGGCTCACCTTCCCATCAAACAGAGGTGAGGAGTCGTGGTCGTGGTTACTTATGCCCCCACCGAAGATTAACATCAGTGGAGGGATGCAGGCAAAGCCGATGAGTCAGATGACTTATATGACCTCCTGTCACAGCTGCTAGCTAAAGTGGCCCTTCGGGATAGAGGCATCTTGTTGGGTGACTTAAATGCACAAGTTGGGCATGATGATGGGACCTGGTCTGGAGTGATTGGAGGGCATGGGCCAAGTCAGCTCAATAGCAATGGTAGGAGGCTGCTAGATTTTTCTGCAGCCCATGTGCTTGTAATTACCAACACGCTGTTCCGGCATCGGCGCATCCACACCACATCATGGATGTATGCCGTGTCCAAGCAAGAACATCTGCTGTACTATATAGTAACGGACCAGCGGATGTGGGCCCATATAATTGACATCAGGACCTACCGTGGAGCTGATCTGCCCTCTGAACATCGACTTGTCATCTGTAAGATGCGCCTGCCATTCTTCCACTCCGGTGGTGGGTGTACACCCAGGACCCCATACTGGAGGAATTTCCATCTGGCACAGATATAACGGGAGGCTGATCGATGCCCGGGTGCACTTCGAGGGATGGCTGGGCATCCCCTCGGTCGACGCAGCCTCAAATGAGTACCTGATATGTGTGTAATCATCACCACTGGGGAGACAAAGGCGGCCAGGCGTGGTGTTGGCCACCCACGCCCTCGTGTGCCGTTTCCGGCCTTCATTGGTGCGACTCGATAACAGCACTTGTCCCGAAACTCTGCTATGGATATACGGGGGATCTTTGTCTTTGTTGTTAACTCGACAGGAAAACCCGTGGTGGTGAATTGCAGCATGTTCTTGGAGTACATTGGCTCAATCGAGGAGACTACCATGGTGAGTGCACAACCACCCAGAGATCCCGTGCCTCTGATTAGCTACGGATGGCTACGTACGGTGTGATATAAGTTCAACATACATCCAGTACACTATACAATTCTATACACTGCACACTACTACACACTACACTGAACTATACACTAGACTATATACTGCTATACACGACACTACTACACAACTATAGTACTACACACTACGCTATAACACGTTGCACTATACACTACATTACTACACACGACACTACACTATAACACGCTACACTATACACTACATTACTACACACTACACTATAACAAACTACACTATACACTACATTACTACACACTACACTATAACACACTACACTATACACTACACTACTACACACTACACAATAACACGCTACACTATACACTACATTACTACACACTGCACTATAACACGCTACACGATACACTACATTACTACACACTACACTATAACACGCAACACTACATTACTACACACTACGATATAACACGCTACACTATACACTACATTACTACACACTACGCTATAACACGCTACACGCTACACTACATTACTACACACTGCTCTATAACACGCTACACTATACACTACATTACTACACACTACGCTATAACACGCTACACTATACACTACATTACTACACACTACACTATAACACGCTACACTACATTACTACACACTACACTATAACACACTATACACTACATTACTACACACTACGCTATAACACGCTAAACTATACACTACATTACTACACACTACACTATAACACTATACACTACACACACTACATTACTACACACTACGCTATAACACGCTACACTATACACTACATTACTACACACTACACTATAACACGCTACACAACACACACTACATTACTACACACTACGCTATAACACGCTACACTATACACTACATTACTACACACTACGCTATAACACGCTACACTGTACACTACATTACTACACACTACACTATAACACACTATACACTACATTACTACACACTACGCTATAACACGCTACACAACACACACTACATTACTACACACTACACTATAACACTATACACTACATTACTACACACTACACTATAACACACGCTACACTACATTACTACACACTACACTATAACACTATACACTACACACACTACATTACTACACACTACGCTATAACACTATACACTACATTACTACACACTACACTATAACACACTACACACTACATTACTACACACTACACTATAACACACGCTACACTACATTACTACACACTATGCTATAACACGCTACACTACATTACTACACACTACACTTTAACACTATACACTACATTACTACACACTACGCTATAACACGCTACACTATACACTACATTACTACACTATACACTATATTACTACACACTACACTATAACACGCTACACTACACACTACATTACTACACATTACACTATAACACGCTACACTATACACTACATTACTACACACTACGCTATAACACGCTACACTACATTACTACACACTACACTATACACTACATTACTACACACGACGCTATAACACGCTACACTATACACTACATTACTACACACTACACTATAACACGCTACACTACATTACTACACACTACACTATAACACGCTACACTACATTACTACACACTACGCTATAACACGCTACACTTTACACTACATTACTACACACTACGCTATAACACTATACACTACATTGCTACACACTACACTATAACATTCTACACTACATTACTACACACTACACTATAACACTATACACTACATTACTACACACTACGCTATAACACTATACACTACATTACTACACACTACGCTATAACACACTACACACTACATTACTACACACTACACTATAACACACGCTACACAACATTACTACACACTATGCTATAACACGCTACACTACATTACTACACACTATACTTTAACACTATACACTACATTACTACACACTACGCTATAACACGCTACACTACACACACTACATTACTACACACTACACTATACACTACATCACTACACACCACGCTATAACACGCTACACTATACACTACATTACTACACACTACACTATACACTACATTACTACACACTACACTATAACACGCTACACAACACACACTACATTACTACACACTACACTATAACACGCTACACTATACACTACATTACTACACACCACACTATAACACGCTACACTATACACTACATTACTACACACCACACTATAACACGCTACACTATACACTACATTACTACACACTACACTATACCACGCTACACAACACACACTACATTACTACACACTACACTATAACACACTATACACTACATCACTACACACCACGCTATAACACGCTACACTATACACTACACTATAACACACTATACACTACATTACTACACACTACACTATACACTACATCACTACACACCACGCTATAACACGCTACACTATACACTACACTATAACACGCTACACTATACACTACACTATAACACACTATACACTACATCACTACACACTACACTATAACACACTACACTATACACTACACTATAACACACTATACACTACATCACTACACACTACACTATAACACGCTACACTATACACTACACTATAACACACTATACACTACATCACTACACACCACACTATAACACGCTACACTATACACTACACTATAACACACTATACACTACATCACTACACACCACGCTATAACACGCTACACTATACACTACACTATAACACACTATACACTACATTACTACACACTACACTATAACACACTACACACTACATTACTACACACTACACTATAACACACGCTACACAACATTACTACACACTATGCTATAACACGCTACACTACATTACTACACACTATACTTTAACACTATACACTACATTACTACACACTACGCTATAACACGCTACACTACACACACTACATTACTACACACTACACTATACACTACATCACTACACACCACGCTATAACACGCTACACTATACACTACATTACTACACACTACACTATACACTACATTACTACACACTACACTATAACACGCTACACAACACACACTACATTACTACACACTACACTATAACACGCTACACTATACACTACATTACTACACACCACACTATAACACGCTACACTATACACTACATTACTACACACCACACTATAACACGCTACACTATACACTACATTACTACACACTACACTATACCACGCTACACAACACACACTACATTACTACACACTACACTATAACACACTATACACTACATCACTACACACCACGCTATAACACGCTACACTATACACTACACTATAACACACTATACACTACATTACTACACACTACACTATACACTACATCACTACACACCACGCTATAACACGCTACACTATACACTACACTATAACACGCTACACTATACACTACACTATAACACACTATACACTACATCACTACACACTACACTATAACACACTACACTATACACTACACTATAACACACTATACACTACATCACTACACACTACACTATAACACACTACACTATACACTACACTATAACACACTATACACTACATCACTACACACCACGCTATAACACGCTACACTATACACTACACTATAACACACTATACACTACATCACTACACACCACGCTATAACACACTACACTATACACTACACTATAACACACTATACACTACATTACTACACACTACACTATACACTACATTACTACACACTACACTATAACACGCTATAATACATTACTACACACTACACTATAACACACTATACACTACACTATACACTACATCACTACACACTACACTACACACTACATTACTACACACTACACTATACACTACATCACTACACACCACGCTATAACACGCTACACTATACACTACATTACTACACACTACACTATAACACACTACACTATACACTACACTATAACACACTACACACTACATTACTACACACTACACTATACACTACATTACTACACACCACGCTATAACACACTACACTATACACTACATTACTACACACTACACTATACACTACATCACTACACACCACGCTATAACACACTACACTATACACTACATTACTACACACTACACTATACACTACATCACTACACACCACGCTATAACACACTACACTATACACTACATCACTACACACTACACTATACACTACATTACTACACGCTACACTATACACTACATTACTACACACTACACTATACACTACATCACTACACACCACGCTATAACACGCTACACTATACACTACATCACTACACACTACACTATACACTACATTACTACACACTACACTACACACTACATTACTACACGCTACACTATACACTACATCACTACACACCACACTATAACACACTACACTATACACTACATCACTACACACTACACTATACACTACATTACTACACACTACACTACACACCACACTATAACACGCTACACTATACACTACATCACTACACACCACGCTATAACGCGCTACACCGCCACACCACGTGCCGTCCGCCTCCCTCCCCGCCCCCCACCCCCTGCAGGACTACCAGCTGAACATCTTCCTCCGTCAGAAGTGGCATGACCCACGCATGACGTACGAGTTGGCGCGCCCCTTCCTCGACCTGGACAACACCATCATCGGCTCCATCTGGAAGCCCGACCTCTTCTTCGGCAACGAGAAGACCGCCAGCTTCCACCGTGTCACCACCGACAACATGATGCTACGCGTCTTCCACAGCGGAGACGTCTACTTCTCCATCAGGTGCGGTAGGACCCGGGCAGGCTGAGTGGGTGGGTGGGTGGGTGAGTGAGTGGGTGAGTGAGTGGGTGGCTGGGTGAGTGAGTGAGTGGGTGAGTGAGTGGCTGGGTGAGTGAGTGAGTGGGTGAGTGAGTGGCTGGGTGAGTGAGTGGGTGAGTGGCTGGGTGAGTGAGTGGGTGGCTGGGTGAGTGAGTGGGTGAGTGGCTGGGTGAGTGAGTGGATGGCTGGGTGAGTGAGTGGGTGAGCCAGTGAGTGGCTGGGTGAGTGAGTGAGTGGCTGGGTGAGTGAGTGAGTGAGTGGCTGGGTGAGTGAGTGGGTGGGTGGCAGGATGAGTGAGTGAGTGAGTGGCTGGGTGAGTGAGTGGGTGGCTGGATGAGTGAGTGGGTGAGTGAGTGAGTGGGTGAGTGAGTGAGTGAGTGGTTGGGTGGGTGAGTGAGTGAGTGGCTGGGTGAGTGAGTGAGTGGCTGGGTGAGTGAGTGGCTGGGTTAGTGAGTGAGTGGCTGGGTTAGTGAGTGAGTGGCTGGGTGAGTGAGAGGCTGGGTTAGTGAGTGGGTGGGTGGGTGAGTGAGTGGGTGAGTGAGTGAGTGAGTGGGTGAGTGAATGGGTGGCTGGGTGAGTGAGTGAGTGGCTGGGTGAGTGAGTGGGTGGGTGGGTGAGTGAGTGGGTGAGTGAGTGGCTGGGTGAGTGAGTGGGTGGGTGGCAGGATGAGTGAGTGAGTGGCTGGGTGAGTGAGTGAGTGGCTGGGTGAGTGAGTGAGTGAGTGGCTGGGTGAGTGAGTGAGTGGGTGGCTGGGTGAGTGAGTGAGTGGCTGGGTGAGTGAGTGAGTGGCTGGGTGAGTGAGTGAGTGGCTGGGTGAGTGAGTGATTGGCTGGATGAGTGAGTGGCTGGGTTAGTGAGTGGGTGGGTGAGTGAGTGGGTAAGTGAGTGAGTGGGTGAGTGAATGGGTGGCTGGGTGAGTGAGTGGGTGGCTGGGTGAGTGAGGAGTGAGTGACCGAGTGAGTGGGTGAGTGAATGGGTGACTGAGTGAGTGGGTGAGGGAGTGGGTGAGTGAATGGGTGACTGAGTGAGTTGGTGAGTGAATAGGTGGCTGGGTGATTGAGTGGGTGAGTGACTGGGTGAGTGAATGGGTGACTGAGTGAGTGGGTGAGTGAGTGGGTGGCTGGGTGAGTGAGTGAGTGAATGAGTGGCTGGGTGAGTGAATGGGTGAGTGAGTGGCTGGGTGAGTGAGTGAATGGCTGGGTGAGTGAATGGGTGAGTGAGTGGCTGGGTGCGTGAGTGAGTGGGTGGCAAGATGAGGGAGTGGCTGGGTGAATGCGTGAGTGAGTGAGTGGGTGAGTGGGTGAGTGGCTGGGTGAGTGAGTGGGTGAGTGAGTGAGTGGGTGAGTGAGTGAGTGGCTGGGTGAGTGAGTGAGTGACTCGGTAAGTGAGTGGGTGAATGAGTTAGTGAGTGGGTGAGTGAGTGAGTGGCTGGGTGAGTTTGTGAGTGGCTGAGTGAGTGAGTGAGTGGCTGGGTGATTGAGTGAATGAGTGGCTGGGTGAGTGGCTGGGTGAGTGACTGGGTGAGTGAGTGAGTGGGTGAGTGAGTGGGTGGCTGGGTAAGTGAGTGAGTGAATGGGTGGCTGGGTGAGTGAGTGAGTGAGTGGCTGGGTGAGTGACTGGGTGAGCGAGTGAGTGGGTGAGTGAGTGAGTGGCTGGGTGAGTGAGTGAGTGGCTGGGTGAGTGGCTGGGTGAGTAGGTGAGTGAGTGAGTGGGCCCTAGCCACAGTCCCTACTGCTGCGGCCCTGGGGCATCCTCGACTCTGATGCGGCCCCCGGCTTGACGGGGAGTGAGTTACTCAGCCCTGGGGTTTGTGTTGTTGTTGTTGCTGCTGCTGCAGGCTGTCCCTGACTCTCTCCTGCCCCATGGACCTCCACAACTTCCCCATGGACAGCCAGATCTGCCGCATCTCCCTGCAAAGCTGTGAGTGATGCCGCGACGGGAGTCAATCGTCGTTCTCGCTGCTGTAGACGGCAATCACTGCTAAGTGATAAACCATTACCCCCACCACCAACCACAAACAACCACCACCCACCACTAACCACCCACCAACCAGCCATTACTAACCACCACCAGCCACCACCCATCACTAACCACCATGACCCACCCACCATCACCCAGCCAGCACCACTCACCACCACCAACCACCACCACTCACCACGAACACCAACCACCACCACTCACCACCACCAACAACCACCATCAGCCACTCACCACCACCAACCATCACCACTACCACTACTACCAACCACCACCACCACCAACCACCACCACAACACAAAAACTATCTACTACCCACGACCAACCATCACCACCCATCCACCACCAACCGATCACCCTCCACCACCAACCAACACCACCCACCACCACCACCAACCACCACCACCAACCACCACCACCCACTACCACCCACCACCAATCACCACCATCCACCCACCACCAACCACCACCACCCACCCACTACCACCAACCACCACCACCACCCACCCACCACCACCAACAACCACCACCCAACCACCACCACCAACAACCACCACCCACCTACCACCAACCACCACCACCCACCACCAACCACCACCCACCACGAACCACCAGCCACCCACCCACCACCAACCACCACCACCCATCCACCACCAACTGATCACCCACCCACCACCACCAACCACCACCAACCACCACCACCCACCAACCCATCACCAACCACCACCAACCACCCCCACCCACCCATCACCAACCACCACCACCAACCACCACCAACCACCACCACCCACCAACCACCACCACCACCCACCAACCACCACCACCCACCCATCACTAACCACCACCACCAACCACCACCCACCACTAACCACCCACCAACCAGCCATTACTAACCACCACCAGCCACCACCCATCACTAACCATCATGACCCACCCACCATCACCCAGCCAGCACCACTCACCACCACCAACCACCACCAATCACCACCACCAACAACCACCACCACTCACCACCACCAACCACCATCAGCCACCCACCACCACCAACCATCACCACCACTTCCACCAACCACCACCACCCAACACCACCAACCAACACCACCCACCACCACCAACCATCACCACCACCACTACTACCAACCACCACCCATCCACCACCACAAAAACTATCTACTACCCACCACCAACCACCACCATCCACCTACCACCAACCACCACCCATCCACCACTAACCGATCACCAACCACCACCACCACCAACCACCACCACCAACCACCACCACCAACCACCACCCACCCCCAACCACCACCAACCACCACCACCCACCCCTAACCACCACCAACCACCACCACCACCCACCACCACCCACCACCACCAACCACCACCACCACCCACCACCACCAACCACCACCATCCACCCACACCAACCACCATCACCCACCCACCACCACCAACAACCACCACCACCAACAACCACCACCCACCTACCACCAACCACCACCACCCATGCACCACCCACCAACCACCACCACCCACCACCAACCACCACCCACCACCACCAACCACCACCATCCACCCACCACCACCCATCCACCACCAACCGATCACCCACCACCAACCACCACCACCAACCACCACCCACCCCCAACCACCACCAACCAGCACCACCCACCCACCACCACCAACCACCACCAACCACCTACCACCAACCACCACCACCCACCCACCCACCACCAACAACCACCACCCACCACCACCAACAACCACCACCCACCTACCACCAACCACCACCCACCCACCTACTACCAACCACCACCACCCATGCACCACCCACCAACCACCACCACCCACCACCAACCACCACCCACCACCACCAACCACCATCCACCCACCACCAACCACCACCATCCACCCACCACCAACCACCACCACCCACCCACCTCCAACCACCCACCACACCTCTGTGTGTGTCTGTGTGTGTGTCTGTGTGTGTGTCTGTGTGTGTGTGTGTCTGTCTGTGTGTGTGTCTGTCTGTGTGTGTGTCTGTGTGTGTATGTGTGTGTATATGTGTGTCTGTGTGTGTGTGTCTGTGTGTGTGTCTGTGTGTGTGTCTGTGTGTGTGTCTGTGTGTGTGTCTGTGTGTGTGTCTGTGTGTGTGTGTGTATCTGTGTGTGTGTCTGTGTGTGTGTGTCTGTGTGTGTGTCTGTGTGTGTGTGTCTGTGTGTGTGTCTGTGTGTGTGTATCTGTGTGTGTGTATGTGTGTCTGTGTCTGTGTGTGTCTGTGTGTGTCTGTGTGTATCTGTGTGTATCTGTGTGTGTCTGTGTGTGTGTGTGTCTGTGTGTATCTGTGTGTGTCTGTGTGTGTGTGTCTGTGTGTGTGTCTGTGTGTGTCTGAGCGCATCCCTCTCTCGCGCAGTCGGCTACACCAACGATGACCTCATCGTCCAGTGGCTGGACAAGAGCCCCGTGGACTTCTCCGACACGCTGAGCCTGCCCCAGTTCGAGCTCAGCCGCAACGTCCAGTTCGGAGACTGCTCCAAGAATTACGTCATCGGTAAACCGGGGCACGGGAGGCACGCGAGAGAGAGACGGAGAGACTCGTTTTAGACTGCAGGGGGGTTAGGGGAGCACGAGGGATTGGGGGGGGGGGGGTAAGAGGGAGGGAGGGAGGGGAGGAGAGAGATGGGGTGGACGAGGCAGAGACACCTGGAGGAGGCCGTGAGTGGGGAATCGAACACGAACTGATGCTCCACCACTCCCTCCACTCCCTCTCCTCCCTCCCTCCACTCACTCCCTCCACTCACTCCCTCTCCTCCCTCTCTTCCCTCCACTCCATCCATCCCTCCCCTCCCTCCCTCTCCTCCCTCCCTCTCCTCCCTCCACTCACTCCCCTCCCTTCCCTCCCTCCCCTCCCTCCACTCCATTCATCCCTCCATCCCTCCACTCACTCCCTCTCCTCCCTCCCTCCCTCTCCTCCCTCCACTCACTCACTCACTCCCCTCCCTCTCCTCCACTCCCTCCCTCCCCTCCCTCCCTCCCTCTCCTCCCTCCACTCACTCCATCCCCCCACTCACTCACTCACTCCCTCCCTCTCCTCCCCCCACTCACTCACTCCCTCCCTCCCTCTCCTCCCTCCACTCACTCCCTCCCTTCACTCCATCCATCCCTCCACTCCATCCATCCCTCCACTCACTCCCTCTCCTCCCCCCACTCCATCCATCCCTCCACTCACTCCCTCTCCTCCCTCCCTCCCTCTCCTCCCTCCACTCACTCACTCACTCCCCTCCCTCTCCTCCACTCCCTCCCTCCCCTCCCTCCCTCCCTCTCCTCCCTCCACTCACTCCATCCCCCCACTCACTCACTCACTCCCTCCCTCTCCTCCCCCCACTCACTCACTCACTCCCTCCCTCTCCTCCCTCCACTCACTCCCTCCCTTCACTCCATCCATCCCTCCACTCCATCCATCCCTCCACTCACTCCCTCTCCTCCCCCCACTCCATCCATCCCTCCACTCCCTCCCTCTCCTCCCTCCACTCCATCCATCCCTCCACTCACTCCCTCTCCTCCCTCCACTCCATCCATCCCTCCACTCCCTCCCTCTCCTCCCTCTCCTCCCTCCCTCTCCTCCCTCCACTCACTCCATCCCCCCACTCACTCACTCACTCCCTCTCCAACCCTCCACTCCATCCCTCCCTCCACTCACTCCCTCTCCTCCCTCCCTCCGCTCCCATCTCCACAGGGATCTTCTCGTGCATCGAGGCGCGCTTCATCCTGCGGCGTCAGATGGGATTCTACCTCATTCAGCTCTACATCCCCAGCGTGCTCATCGTCATCATCTCCTGGGTCTCCTTCTGGATCGACATGGACGTGACGCCCGCTCGCGTGGGTCTGGGCATCACCACGGTGCTCACCATGACCACGCAGAGCACGGGGTCACGCTCTTCCATGCCCAAGGTGAACGAGGGTCACTGAGATGCAACCACGGCCAGCTTCGGTGTGGCTTTGGGGTAGACGGGCGGTGTGAGGGCGGGTGGAGATACACGGGTGAGTGGCACGGGCTGGAGCGGATGGGTGGGTGGGTGGTTGAGTTAGTGGGTGGGTGAGTGGCTGGGTGGGTGGGTGGGTGGATGAGTGAGTGGCACGGGCTGGAGCGGATGGGTGGGTGGGTGGTTGAGTTAGTGGGTGGGTGAGTGGCTGGGTGGGTGGGTGGGTGGATGAGTGAGTGGCACGGGCTGGAGCGGATGGGTGGGTGGGTGGTTGAGTTAGTGGGTGGGTGAGTGGCTGGGTGGGTGGGTGGATGAGTTAGTGGGTGGGTGGGTGAGTGGCTGGGTGGGTGGATGAATTAGTGGATGGGTGGGTGACTGGCTGGGTGGGTGGGTGGATGAGTGAGTGGCACGGGCTGGAGCGGATGGGTGAGTGGGTGGTTGAGTTAGTGGGTGGGTGAGTGGCTGGGTGGGTGGGTGGATGAGTTAGTGGGTGGGTGGGTGGGTGAGTGGCTGGGTGGGTGGATGAATTAGTGGATGGGTGGGTGACTGGCTGGGTGGGTGGGTGGATGAGTGAGTGGCTGGGTGGGTGGATGAGTTAGTGGATGGGTGGGTGACTGGCTGGGTGGGTGGGTGGATGAGTTAGTGGGTGGGTGAGTGGCTGGGTGGGTGGGTGGATGAGTAAGTGGGTGGGTGGGTGAGTGGCTGGGTGGGTGGATGAGTTAGTGGGTGGGTGGGTGGGTGGCTGGGTGAGTGAGTGAGTGGCTGGGTGGGTGGATGAGTTATTGGATGGGTGGGTGACTGGCTGTGTGGGTGGGTGGATGAGTTAGTGGGTGGGTGAGTGGCTGGGTGGGTGGAAGAGTTAGTGGTTGAGTGGGTGAGTGGCTGGGTGGGTGGATGAGTTAGTGGGTGGGTGGGTGAGTGGCTGGGTGGGTGGATGAGTTAGTGGGCGGGTGAGTGGCTGGGTGGGTGGGTGGATGAGTTAGTGGGTGAGTGGGTGAGTGGCTGGGTGGGTGGGTGGATGAGTTAGTGGGTGAGTGGGTGAGTGGCTGGGTGGGTGGATGAGTTAGTGGTCGAGTGGGTGAGTGGCTGGGTGGGTGGATGAGTTAGTGGGTGGGTGGGTGAGTGGCTGGGTGGGTGGATGAGTTAGTGGATGGGTGGGTGAGTGGCCGGGTAGGTGGATGAGTTAATGGGTGGGTGGGTGAGTGGCTGGGTGGGTGGATGAGTTAGTGGGTGGGTGAGTGGCTGGGTGGGTGGATGAGTTAGTGGGTGGGTGGGTGAGTGGCTGGGTGGGTGGATGAGTTCGTGGGTGAGTGGGATGTTCTGATGCGCTGGATGGTACCATGGCTGTTGGTGATGATGTTGGTGATGATGATGATGATGATTATGAGGATGGTGATGATGGTGATGTGTCCCCCAGCTCTCCTACATCAACGCGATGGACGTGTGGATGACCACGTGTCTGGTGTTCGTCTTTGCCGCTATGCTCGAGTTTGTTCTGGTCCTCATGACCGCTCGCAAGTTCAAGGCGCTGGCCGCCCAGAATCTGCCCATCTATCCGGTGAGATAGATAACAGACAGTCAAACGATGCACGCGTTGGAGGCTGGAGGCTGAGGGGGCTGGAGGCTGAGGGGGTGGAGGCTGAGGGGTTGGAGGCTGAGGGGGTGGAGGCTGAAGGGGTTGGAGGGGTGGAGGCTGAGGGGGGTGGAGGCTGAGGGGGTGGGGGCTGAATGGGTGGAGGCTGAGGGGGTGGAGGCTGAGGGGGTGGAGGCTGAGGGGGTGGAGGCTGAGGGGGTGGAGGCTGAGGGGGTTGGAGGCTGAGGGGGTGGAGGCTGAGGGGGTGGAGGCTGAGGGGGTGGAGGCTGAGGGGTGGAGGCTGAAGGGGTGGAGGCTGAGGGGTGGAGGCTGAAGGGGTGGAGGCTGAGGGGGTGGAGGCTGAGGGGGTGGAGGCTGAGGGGGGTGGAGGCTGAGGGGGTTGGAGGCTGAAGGGCTGGAGGCTGAGGGGGGTGGAGGCTGAAGGGGTTGAGGCTGAAGGGTTGGAGGCTGAGGGGGTGGAGGCTGAGGGGGTGGAGGCTGAGGGGGTGGAGGCTGAGGGGGTGGAGGCTGAGGGGGTGGAGGCTGAGGGGGTTGGAGGCTGAGGGGGTTGTAGGTGTATACTACCAGAGCATGTTTTTTTCATGATTCCTTGCCCCGGAAAGGGTTCAAACCTCTTCGCATATTTTGATACTGGCAAGACATGTCCCACGATGAGTAAACGGACTTCATAAGACGTGGATTTAACGAGACACTTTCAAGTGCCCACAACTAGCGGGTTAACGGATTTTGCAACGGGAGGGAATTCCACTGCCGTGGCAGAGATGCGTCGAGACTCCTGCCCAGGCACAAGACGTGGCTGTATCCAGCATGAATCTCCTGCCTCAGGGTGTTATATTGAAGGAAGATTCTCGCGATGTTAAGGGTAGGAAACCATTCTAGATTTGAAGCTTCCGTGACCGCAAGGATTCATATTTGTTTCGTTTTCGTTTTTTTTTTGGTAAAGTCGCGTAAGTAAAACAATCAATGAAATATCTTTTTTTTTTTAAAGTGCTTAGTTGTTTTCATTAGTTTTATTTTATTTGATGGTTTTACTTACGTAACTTTACCGACGAAACCAAAGGGTAAGAAAACGAGGTGGTGGTGTGCCAACAGCAACGGCTCCGTCACCTCTTACAATTCTTGTTCCAGGGATACTTAAAACGCAATTAGATGGACGTCTAAGTCTTAAATTTTTTATTTAAAGCTTTCGTGACTGCAGTGATTCATATTCTTGGTTCTTTCGGTGAAGTCACGTAGAAGGGAAACAATAAAATACATATTGTTTTTTATGTAGTTCATTATTTTATTGTTTCCCTTCAACGTGACTTTGCCGAAAGAACCAAGAATACGTCTCAGTCTTCTTGGGGTTTTAACAAAATATGTTAACGAGTTGGCTCGGCACCAGCGCACGATTCACCGGCGGAGGAATTTTTTTTACGGATGAACGTGGCCTCCGACGCGGATTCATTCATGCATCAGGCGACGTGAGATTTGGATTTTTGTCAAGAGGTCACGATTGGTGGGTCCTGTACGGTACGTCCAGCCAGTACGGCCGAGTGGCTAAGAGCTGGAAACTTCATCAGGCAGAGCCGCGAGCGGAGCGTCGCTCGGGAACACCTCACGGCCACGAATGAGGTGACCGTGGCAATTAGCACGAACGACGATCTCACAGTGACATCATGACTCTTTGATTTCGATTTAAAGCTTTCGTGACTGCAAGGATTCACCTTCTTGGTTCTTTCGGTAAAGCCACCACCACCACCACCACCACGTAGAATGAGAATAAAACAATTAAACATTGTTAGCGCCGTCGTCCCGACAGTTCTGTCCCTTCACCCGAAGAAGGCTGCTTGTGTCGTGGCCGAAACGTCGTGAGAATTCTATTGAACTTACTCTGTTTCGTTGTTTTAGTCTCATTCTATGCGACCTCACCGCAAGAACCGAAGAAGATGCACTCCATATAGGAATAGGTTTTACCCTTTTAACTGGCACAAAAACTGACACCTTTATTCAAGGCATCATGTTTGCAAAAAAACACAACACAAGCAGTCAGAATGCAAACAAAAAAGGCAACTCTGATAATAATAATAATATTGGCACTGTCCTTGAATTTGATTGGTCCACACGGGAGACGGCTTTTCTTAGAGCCTAGTCTCCATTGGTGTTGGACCAGAATACGCCAAAAGGCGTACAACTCAAAAACAGCGCACTATCAGAGTTATTGAGGGCTCGGGGTGAGCATTTACATTATGAGACCTCCTTTGCCAGAAACAAGATATAGGAATAGGTTTTACCCTTTTAACTGGCACAAAAACTGACACCTTTATTATACAAGGGATCATCTTTCCAATAACCACAACACAAGCATTATGAGACCTCCTTTGCCAGAAACAAGATATAGGAATAGGTTTTACCCCTTTTAACTGGCACAAAAAACTGACACCTTTATTCAAGGCATCATGTTTGCAAAAAACCACAACACAAGCAGTCAGAATGCAAACAAAAAAGACAACTCTGATAATGCACTCCTTTATCCTTTCGGTAAAGTCACGTGGGTAGAAATGAAACGAAGTGATTCGCGCCGTTTCGATGGCAGCACAGGCAGGTGAAAATCGAGGACGAAACTTCCACGAAACCCTTGCTGGTGACAGCCTCTCTTCACAAGGCGGCGGACACTCGCGGCTGCCGCGGCTTTCACCCGATGATGACGGCGGTGGCTGGTGTGGCCATCGAAGCGTCGAGATTCATTTTGCTCGAGTTCTACCCCACGTGACTTTGCCTTAAAGAATTCAAAGGGCACCGGATTCCTGCAGCCGCGGAAGCTTCAAATCGAGATCGTGACATCATCGTTGTTATTATTATTATTGTTGTTATTATTATTTATAGGAGCAGTGACAACGTTGGCGGTGATGGCGAAGTGGGGTAGGAGGAGTGGGGCGGGTTAACCGTGGGGATTTGCCACCCCCAGGCGCCGCAGGATGCTGAAGGGGAGAGGCGGCTGCGCTTGGCCCAGCAGATCGACAACTTGGCGCGGTGGCTCTTCCCCGCCAGCTTCGCGGTCTTCAACGTCCTCTACTGGATCCTCTTCCTCGTCGTGCTCAAGAGCGACGTGTGACGCGCGTGCCGTTGATCCGATTCGCGGATTGACGGTCGCGCGCCAGAGATCTCGACGTAAGCCATTTGACCTTATCCAGGTCACAAGCTAATCATTCAGCCATTTCAATGCTAAATTATATGCTAATTCCTTTGTCAAAGCGCTTTGTTTCCTCTCACACAGCTTAAAGGCCGTGATCTGAACGTGGCTCTTTCACTCCAGCGCTGTCCTACCAGACAGTCTCGCCCCCTTCACCTGATGAAGGCCGCTTGTGTTGTGGCCGAAACGTCGTGAGAATATTATTGTGTTATTTTATTTTATCAATTTATTATTTTATTATCATTCTACATGGTGACTTTACCGAAAGAACCAAAGAAGATGAATCATTGCAGTCACGAAAGCTTTAAATCGAAACTTATCCAGGATTTTAGACGGCGGTTTTTTTGTTGTTGTTTTGTTTTGTCGAAGCGCTTTACTCCAGCGCTGTCCTACCAGACAGTCTCGTCCCCTCACCTGATGAAGGCCGCTTGTGTTGTGGCCGAAACGTCGTGAGAATATTATTGTGTTATGTTATTTCATTTTATCAATTTATTATTTTATTCTCATTCTACCTGGTGACTTTACCGAAAGAACCAAAGAAGAAGAAAAAGCGGTACATTGCTTATTGGCTGATGTTGGACGGGGATTTGAGCGTTGGGGAGGGGATGGTAGGGTGATGTCAGGGGCGAGTTTAGAAAGGGAAAGGGAGATGATGGTTCAGGTTTTAAGAACGAGGACAGGAAGTCGTTCAGCACGTAGTAGGCTTTTGCGACCAATATAATCCACGATACAGGTTTTTTTTTTTTCGGTTCGAGCACGTAAATATAGAAATGTCGCGAAACCTCCCCCCGCCCGACACAGCCAATTGGTAGGAGTTTTCACGTAAACAGAACGTGGCCAATTCGTTGCTAGCACAGCACACCGGTGTATTGGAGAGCAAAGCCACGAATCTGGCTGTCGCCTGATGAAGCTGGTTGTGATTTCTGGCGAAACGTCGTTGCTCAGATTGCAAATGTTGTGGCTTTGTTCTCCAACACACCGGTGCGCTGTGCTAGTGACGAATTGGCCACGTTCTGTTGACGTGACAAACCCTTACTTATATTCTTAGTTTTTTTTCGGTAAAGTCATGTTGAAGGGAAACAACAAAATAATAATAAAATATATATAAAACAATAAAAAAAATTCTCACGACGTTTCGACCATAACTCAAACGGTCGTCTTCAGGTGTGTTGGTTTGCATACATTTATTTTTAAACGGCACATTTACTTATTTATAAAAAAATGTTAGATGGTAGCCATCTGGCTACCATGAGAGATTCGTTCATGAGGCTATCCACATATACAAGCACAGAGACAATTTCAACCGAGAAGATGGATTCTATCTTAGCAATCATTGGAAAGATTTGATAAACCATTTCAGGTCTTAATTGATTGTTCACGCTTACAGTGGCTTTCAGACAGCATACATTATAAAACATTTAGTCTCCCCCCTCCTCTTTTCAGAATATAGATGGACTAGTCCTAAATAAACTGCCAAATCGTTGCGCGTGGCGCTAACGTTTTTTTATAAATAAATAAATGTGCCGTTTAAAAATAAATTTATGCAAACCAACACACCTGAAGACGACCGTTTGAGTTATGGTCGAAACGTCGTGAGAATTTTTTTATTGTTTTATATATATTTTGTTGTTTCCCTTCAACGTGACTTTACCGAAAAAACTAAGAATATGAATTACTGCAGTCACGAAAGCTTTAAATCAAAATTGAAACCCTTACTAGTTGGCTGTGTCGGGTGGTGAGGGGTTTAACAACACGTTTAAATTTTGACGCGATCTACGCTATTGAAGCGAAAACAAGAGTCTCAAGGGAGGCACACGTTTATTCGCACTCCACATGGTACAGTCGGAGGCACAGGTGGTGCATCAGCCAGTCGTATCAGTCAGTCAACCCATGGCACCTGTTGGGTCTGTCCCGTGGCCTCCTGCCAGTGGGCATTTGAAACTTCACGTGGCCTTGAAGTGCACCTAGCCTGGCACGAGCGCCGTGGTGACGTCATCGCCAGTTAGTGGAAAATGGCGGTTGTTGTTGTCTGTCTGTGTGTCTGTGTGTATCTGTTGTTGATTATTCCAATGGAGGTGGAGCCAGGCGGGAGAAGGAGTGGAAACGTGATTGAGCACAGCGAGGGTTTGGGGGGGGCAGGGGGGGGGTAGTGATGGATGATAGAGATTGTGAACACAGGGACCATGATCGGAGCATGAATAAGAAATAAGAAAAGCGAGATTAGGGTCGGGCATTTTTCCTTCAATACCAAATTAATGACCTAAAAAACGTTTATAGATCTGTTACTCTTGGAAATGTGCTATTACACGTCACACGTGCGTTAAACCTAGCAAATGTTGCTCCGGTTAATCCAAAATCCGTGTGATCGCCTCTACAATACAGTGGTTGTAGTATCTTTACAACAGTGGGGCAAAGTTTGATTGATGTTGATTGGCTGTGGCTCTGCTGTCATCCACTCAGTGGGCTGAGTTTGATTGATGTTGATTGGCTGTAGCTCTGCTCTCATCCACTCAGTGGGCGGAGTTTGATTGATGCTGATTGGCTGTGGCTCTGCCTTCATCCACTCAGTGGGCGGAGTTTGATTGATGTTGATTGGCTGTGGCTCTGCTGTCATCCACTCAGTGGGCTGAGTTTGATTGATGTTGATTGGCTGTAGCTCTGCTCTCATCCACTCAGTGGGCGGAGTTTGATTGATGTTGATTGGCTGTAGCTCTGCCTTCATCCACTCAGTGGGTGGAGTTTGATTGATGCTGATTGGCTGTGGCTCTGCTATCATCCACTCAGTGGGCGGAGTTTGATTGATGCTGATTGGCTGTGGCTCTGCTATCACCCACTCTTCTGCGAGGAAGCAGGAAAGGGTTATTATTACTGCGTCTGCGCATTATCGATTGCTAATGTGCACCTACATTAGTGGTTTCTGGCATAGAGATCCGTGGGAAATTATTATATTGTTGGATTACCCGTGATGTTTCATTATCTGCGGCCACCCTCCCCATCATTAGCGCAGAAAATCGAGAGTCTACCGGTACGACTAACCAAGTCTTGACTTAAAGCTTTCGTGACTGCAGCAATTCAATGTTCTTTGGGCCTCACGGTAAAGTCACGTGGACATGTTCAAAGAACGTAACGATAAGATTGACGACGAAGTTTCGGTCGCAACGCGAGCGCTCGTCATCAGGCTGAACGAAGAGAGGCCCGTGACGTCCACTTGCGTGGCGATCGAAACCTCGTCGCTTTTTCGGTCATTTTTCGTTGAACCGATGCACGTGACTCTTACCGAAAGGCCCAACCAATATGTCCTACTGTCTGCTATTTTGTTTATTTTTACCGGGTAAGGCCCATTGTGGCTGTACAGCTCTTAGAAGGGACCTCTCGCAAGCGGCAGCGGCTCAACAAAGTTGGGGGTATTGTCGTCGTCGCCGCGTGGGAATGCGTAAGCAGGAGCCAATTACTCTCCACAAGCGCGACGTTGATTCTTAATGCGAAGGGGAACAAACTGGAGAACCACGAGGGAAAAAAACAATCCATGCCACCACCAACGTGGATGGACAGCGAGAGACGCAGACCTCAAATATGCAGCAGGCGTGGTCAGGGTCGAGATCGAAGCCACGAACTCTTGCGTACCAGGCGAGGTAGTTAACATCTCCTAGCCGCCACGGCTGTTGTCTCCGTGTGTGTGTGGTGTGTGTGGTGTGTGTGTGTGGTGTGGTGTGTGTGGTGTGTGTGTTTTTTTTTTGTGGGGAGCAGTAGTGTAGAGGTTAGCGCTACGCTGCACTACGAACCCGGCGACCCGAGTTTGATTACCCGCTCACAGCCAACACCGGTGACGATTATCTGAACCGGTCTTGGGCCTCGCCCCTAGGTCGACTCAGCCTCAAATGAGTACGTGGTGTGGTGTGTAAGCATCGCAACTGGGGAGACAAAGGCGGCCGGGCGTGGTGCTGGCCACCCGACCCCCTCGTGTGCTGTTCTGGCCTTCATAGGTGCTCACTAACAGCACTTTCCTCAACGGTCAGGCTGTTCGGGGGATCCATAGAGACGCAACACATATAGAGGGACATGCAAACTCCAAATATACAGCAGGCGGTCAGGATCGGGATCCAATCCACGACCTCCCGCAAACCAGGCGAGGTAGTTGACATCTCCTCAAGCCACCATGGCCGCAGCTAGCTGGGTGGCGGGAGTGCTGACGCTCGTGACTTGCCTGCAACCATTGACCCGAGTTTGATTGCCGATTCGGGTGCTCCATCTCTCTTTTCGTTGTCGTTGTCCTGTGTGGAGTTTGCATGCTCTCCCTGCCGAAGCAGGGCGTTTGGTAGATTTACAGCGTAACCCTAAAAGGCAGTGCTTCTCGACCCTTCTGTATGAATTCCACGGCACCCACTTTCTCGCTCGGCCTTCGTGGTAACACCGAAGCAAAACAAAAAAAACGACCGTGATGGTACATGGCGAGGACACGTGGTCCGAGATATGATGATATGTGATCGGCCACTTCAGATGAGGTGACAAGGGGGAGAAAATGGGAGAGATAACAGCACGATGGAGGATGGATGGGAGAGAGCTGTGGATGAAGGAGGGAGCTGTGGATGAAGGAGAGAGCTGTGGATGACGGAGAGAGCTGTGGGTGAAGGAGGGAGCTGTGGATGAAGGAGGGCGCTGTGGATGAAGGAGAGAGCTGTGGATGAAGGAGAGAGCTGTGGATGAAGGAGGGAGCTGTGGATGAAGGAGGGCGCTGTGGATGAAGGAGAGAGCTGTGGATGAAGGAGAGAGCTGTGGATGAAGGAGGGAGCTGTGGATGAAGGAGGGAGCTGTGGATGAAGGATGGGAGCTGTGGATGAAGGAGAGAGCTGTGGATGAAGGAGAGAGCTGTGGATGAAGGAGGGAGCTGTGGATGAAGGAGAGAGCTGTGGATGAAGGAGAGA